TTTAACATAAAAAATAATTTATTCTATGTTGATTCAGATCTTAATATTAGTTCGTCTCTTATTTTGAATATTTAATCTTAATTATAATTTTATCTGCCATAAATTTTATTTTCAAAGAGTAAAAGATTGATATGATATATCACTTTTAGATCTTTATGTTAGTAGAATCATTCGTGGTATTCACTCTTACCAACTATTTTTTTCTCTTTCTCACACATATATATTCTTAAATATTTTCTTAGTTGTTGTTTAATAAGTGGGTATTTTTCAATATTACACGAAAAATTGATTAAAAATATTATTTGAGTAGGAAATAGTTCAAATATAATATAAAAATATATTATTGTGGGGGTATTTTTTTTTCTCAATTTCAACTCTTTATGTATTTCATTTAATATTACTTTTATTTTTCTTCGTATTGGACATTATCTAGTGGTAATGTATTATCAATACGGAGGATTCTTATAAAATTAATTTTATTAAACCTTCCTACATATTTTTAATAGAATTTTTTTATTACTTTTAAAATCTTAAATATAAAAAATTAGCATAGAATGTATTGTAGTCTAAAAATAGGTTATTGTGAGTTCTTCCGTTTTAATGTTTTAGGGCTATTTTGATATATTAATATTGTATTTATGCTTTTATAATAATATATATTTGGACAATATACTACATTCTCAAATTAAATTATTAATAAGACATTATAATACGTTTTCAAACAAAATTGATAATAGAATTTTTTAAGAAGTATATTCTAAAAGTAATAGGATTACCTGACTAAAACTAATTATACCAATAGGATTCATGTAGGATTCCTAACTTGTAGTATTATGTCCTAAAACTAATAGGATTATAAGGCTAATATCTAAAATTTCGGTTATGTCCTTTTATTATGAGTTGTTATGCTTAATATTATAAGATTATTTTTGTAAATCGACATTATATTCATGCTTTTATAATAATATAGATAGATATAGATAATTATGAATAATTCAAGAGTAGAATTCTTTTCGATTTAAATCTCACACACGTCGATCCTACAAAGTTGATATTTGGCAGGACTCTTTCGAATTTAATTAATTGTTTGAACTGCTACCGCCGATATGCATCGTTTAGAGGACAGTAGCATGTAGCCTAATACTTCTTGGATAGACTTTTATGCCTTCTTTAAATTATTCTTATTCTTAGTATAAATTTGCAAGTTATTTTAGAAGAAAAGAATATAACAAGAGTTCTACTGAAATACTACTTCCGGATGAAATAGATTTCTTATTAGATATTAGGTTGTCCGTCAATTGGATCTTTTGGGGTAAGTTTTTTTTAAGGTTTTCTTGTATTTATTATATTTTTACTATTTTACAAAACAAATAATAATCTGATCTTTAAAGTGAGGAAAATTCATTCGTAGAGAATAGAGATGGCTTATCTTTAAAGTAAGTGTTCTTCATGAAAATTTTGCATTCATTTACATATCTTATACCAGGTTGACCCACATCTATTTGTAAGGTTTAAAAAATTATAATACCGGCAAGGTAACTTTCTAAAATTTGAAGACAATGGAAAAATTATGGGACTTTTTTGCCCTCAAGACTATAGCAATTGAATAAAGATTAAAAGATTAAATTAATCATATTGGCCAATCAATAATCAAATAACAGATAGAACTTAAAAGAATCATCTTGAACTATATTAATTTATGTTAGAAAGACTGATAATTTTAACTTAATGGTAGTGAATTATTTTCATTCGTATAGCTTGAATATTAAAATTACCTTAAAATATAATTTAAGAATTTTTAAACCCAAAGTGTAGGAAAATTACATTGGGTTCAAAGATTTTGTGCAACTTCCAGCACCAAGCTCACGTGGAAAGGCAACCTCTAAAATGTCACACATTTTTTACTATTTTTTTATACAAATCATGTGATACTCGACTTAAGATACTCGTGCAATGCACGAACATAGAGACTAGTTATTACTATATTAAAAGCACGAAAGTCCTTAGCGAAATGTCGTTCGCCTTTTTTGCCCTTTAAAAATAGATTTCACACTAGAAAAAATTGTAATTTAATTATTTTTCTAATATTTAAGAGTTTGAAATCAACTAAAATATTGACTATTAAATAAATTTCCTATTTTAACTACGTATGAGTCCTAATTTTTCACATACATTGCATCTTTAATTTATAAAAGCTTTATTATTATTTGACTAAATTTATTAATTAATTAATATTTCTAAGTTTTATACAAGAAAATAATTAATTTTTACCCAAGTCAAATCTCCTACTCTTAATAATTGTCTAACAAAGTAGAAACAAGTTAAATAAAGAAAATTTGCTTCTGCGGTGCTCATTCATTAATTGATTAACACTTCTACGTTTTATACAAGGAAATTATTTGATTTCTACGGAAGTCAAGATCTCTTGTTCTTAATAGTTGACTGATGAAGTAGAAACAAGTTATATAAAGAAAATATGTTTCTGCAAGACTCGCTATTTTGATGATTTTTTGTCAAGTTGCATTAGTTATTCATATGCTATGATCCATGTGGTATTCATAATCTATGAACTAGGAATTACTTTTGCTTAACAGATTGGGTACTAAATCCGTTACTTGCATATTTTTGTTATCAATTTATGAGATTTTTTTTTCCAATTGATCTACGTCTTTTACTTGCTTGTGGTTGCAAACACAGGTCTTTCAGTTGCTCGGCAAACCTACAGTAGAATTCACGCACCTAAGGTCAAGATACTTACAAATTAAATTTACTTGATTTTCAATCTATTTTGTAGTTTTGTTTTGTTTATTGGTACCAAAGAACATTTATAGTCTGCGGGGTATGATCTTGGATCTATTTAGGTTTCTGGTCTATATATTTTTCAGTTTTAATTCTGGATTTCATATGTATGTTTGTAGTTAATTTCTCTTGCTTATAGACATTTCTTTAGATTGAGTCTCTAACACTTCTATATTCGTTGCTGTGACGTCTCTTCAGGTACGATTCTCACTAAGTTATTTTTATGTCTACTTTTTTCAGATATTGCTATTTTATTTTTTCAGAATCTCTAATTAATGGAGAAATTTTATTTCTGTCAAGTGCCAAATTATGATATTGCTTAGACTAATAAGAACTTTGTTTGTTAAGTAAATTAGAATTCTTACATGTAAATGTCATAATGGGATACAATCTATATCGCCCACAAATTGTCTATATTCATCCCTTTCCGGGGCGAATTTTGTTGTGTCTTTTTTTCAAAATTAATTTTTATTGTACTATTTGATTTTAACAATAGACGCATCACTATGAAGAAGGTGAATTAAACCTCTTTCTTTAAATAGCATAATTCCTTCTAACTTTTAAATGTCTATAAAATATTGCTGGAGTATATATTTTTCAACGTATAAAGAAGTATGTTTATTGATCAATGATAAATTTTTATCCGATTTATTGCATAATACATTCGAACTAATCTCTTTACAATTTTAAAGAAGAAATTAACAGAGGCGCAAAAGGATTTAAAGCACATAAAGCATATATACATATCAAAAACAGAAAATAAAAAATAAAAAAAAGCTCAATATGATCAATAAATATCATGATTGCACAAATGAATAATAGAAGATGTGTACCACTCACGACGGCTGCCACGAACTACAAGAATGATTGGACAAAATAGTAAATTAAGCTACTCTCCGAATATTTAGATTCTGAAAACAATTAAAATTTTACCTTATAAAGAATATTAATTTCATTATTGATCCAAACTGAATTAAATGAACAAAATTTTGTTCCTTTTGCCTTTCAAGCTCTTGGTGCTCGAAATCTTTCACCGGCAACTTTTTGTAGTTTGCCACATTTTTTTTGGAGTTCAACTATTGTGTTCTCTCATATTCTTATTACTTTACTAATTTTTGATTTTTCTTTATTTTTTTTATTATTGAAAAGTTTAATACTATAAAAAATATTTTTATTTTCCTTCATAATTATACTTATATTTTAAAATTGGGATAAGCTAATATAAGAATCTAAAAAGGTAAATTATCTTTTTTAATGTTGAAAACAAATAGTTACCTTTTTAATTAACTAATTAGAATTCAATTCAATTGAACTATGCCCTAAGTCCTAATATTTAGGAGTTTAAAATTATTCAAGACTAAAAAAGTTTATTATAATATATTCATAAATACGATAATAATTTACGTATGACTTTCTAGATATTTTTTAATATATGAGGTGTTTGATATTAAAGATAATAAACATGAGTAATAATGTTGCATTCTCTAAAGCTACATGATATTTGGTTGGTTGCAATAATAAAAAAATATATAGAATTAATCTCTCAAAAAGTTATATATATATATATATATATATATATATATATATATATATATATATATATATATATATATATATATATATATATATATATATAT